TGAGGCACTGAGCAACAGGTTTTCAGTGTTTTTACCTTCTTATCTTCTGCCACGGGGCTGAAGGAGCAGAAACAGTGACTTGCCTCTGGTTTTGCTCCATCAGCACAGAGCTTGCTCTCTAAACTCACTGAGACTCTTTTTCCATCAGCTAGCAACTCCCTGCAATGCATCCCCTTCATTTCAACACAGAACCTGAGGGCTGTGGGTCACAGGGGAACAGAATCTGGCCCTGCAGAGCTGAACACAGAGAATGAAAGGCTCTGTTTGCAGAGCAGGTGGGCTACAAGCAAGGTGCTCTCCCTGGGCTCACTGGAGGTGCAGATTTTCCATGGCATTGCCCATTTGTGGATTTGGTACCTCCTAGGTTCGTATTGCAGCTTGATGCTCTCTTGCTGCCCCTTCTAGACAAGCCCCAAGATAATTGTCTATATTAAAAAGCTGTTCTTTCTTTGGCAGGAATCTCCTCTCTCTCTGTAAAGGAGTTTATTAGGCAGAGATTAAAGGGAAACCCTCAAAAGCTGCTCATCAGATGTAAACAAACCCACCGGGGTTATTAGGCACGTGAAAATAATGATACAAGAGTTTTCCAAGCGTGATAACATCACTCTTTGTATCACACTAAATTAATAACATCTCTCAAGCACCTGCCTAAACCAGAAGTCTTTCCAAGAGACTAAGCACAACCTCTCTCATTAAATCAGCATTCAGGGAGCTAACTAGCAGATGCTGCTGACATGAACCCAAATGTAATCTCTTTAACCTTGTCCTGTGGGGAGCAGACAAGTCATGACCGAGTCATTCCAACTAAATTAGATTTTATGTGAAAGTGTATAATCTAAATTAAATTTGATTAAAATGATTCACTGATTTGTGTTTGCTTTTAAAGGTCCTAATGTAGCCAAGGTGACCGGTTTTCAGTAATCTGTGTAATCAGATTAATCTGTTTTTACATGGTTGGATCAAGATTTATCCCATAGATTTTTCTATATTAATCATATTGCTTGACTATCCATGGATAGATTAGGTGTTTTTTGTTCAGACACAATTCAATTTTCACTGTGTTAATGAGATCTAACTGTGGTGACTATAAAGATGTGTGATGTAAAATATCTCAAACTATCTGCAAGGAGAGAACCATCAGGTCATTGATAACCAAATGGAAAATGTGAAACAATCCTATCCCCAAAATTTTCTTCAGTGGCAGATTTTGCTCAGCACAGACTCAGGGCAGCTCCAGCACTGGAATTGTGCAGCTGCCTGTTTGTGCAGTGATGAATTTCCTGGGCTTAACCCCTTCACATCCTCTTCCCCTACTGGGAATTGGTGCAAGTGGGACGAATCTTGGGCACTGCCTTAATTACATCTCAAAATCTTAATTGAATAGCAGTGGTGCTGATGAGTGGCTGCATTCTCAACACTAATCACAGTCTGCAATCAGCAAACAACATACAGCTACTAATTAAGACTTAATAAGTCAAAATGACAATTTTATCCAATATATGAAGTCAAGGGTTGCTCTGTGCTGGATGTGGCTGCTTTAATGGCAGAAGAAAGAAGATCTGGGCTCCAGGCAAGAATTTCTGTCATTTTTTCTAAGATGCTGGTGCCACTTTTTCAGATACAGTTTCTCTGTTTTTTCTGCTATCTGATAGGGGTTTTTTTGTTTGGATTTTTTTATGTATTTCACAGTGTGACAGCCCTGCTACAAATCCACAGATCTGCAGTGAACAGGATTTAGCAGAAGGTTACAGGTCATTTCTGGAGCTTTAACAGGTCTGAAAGTGCCTGGTTGTGTCAGCAGGAAAAGGCTCAGGGCTGCAGGAGGAAAGGAAGGTGAACTCTTGGTGATGTCACCCAGGTGACTGTGTCAAATTTTGGGTTACACACAGAAAAAACTGCCAACTACTCGATGTGGCTATGGCAGAATATTAGAATACATCAAAAGGGATGAGGTGTGAAGGGTTTACCCGGCACTTTGTTGCTTTAGGCTGCTCTTTTCCCACCCTTAATTAGCACAACTTCAGCTCCTTGCTCATTTTTCTTTATCACATCAACAAATACATTAATACAAAAATAAATTACATTAAATCCTGTGTAGAGCAGCTAGTTCCCTAAGCCTGTTTCCTGTCTGTGGCACAAAACCCTCCAGCTCCTGTTTAATTTTAGCTGTGGGAATATCTTCACAGGCTTAAATGGGATTCTTCAGAGGCTTAAATTTCATGAGTTTCTGCTCTTTCCTGAAGAGGAGCAGAGGAAAGTGCTGTACCTCAAAGACTGCATTAAACAATGTGTTTAAAATGTTCTTCCTCACGACAACATCTCTGATGTTGGAACCCTTATGAAGAGAATAAAAGCATGAGTCAGTGAACTGCTCCCTTCTCTTCATTCTCCACTGGGAACAAAGCAAAGATGTTCCACCCCAGCACCTGCACTGGTTCTGAGCCAAGGGTTTCCTTTGTCCTGAGCCTAAGCAGGAGTGAAGGCACTGGAGCAGTTCTACTTTTGAAAGTGAGATAGAAAAGCTCTGTGGTGAGTGAGGAAACAAGATCAGCTGAGTGTTGTTCCAAGGAAGGCCATAAAACCCCTTCAATCACTCTCTTTCTCTGCATTTTGCATATGACAAATGCTCTTTCACTGGATCTTGATAACTGCCCCAAAAAAAGAGTGAAGGAGAGAGAACCTGTAGCTCCTGAAAAGCAAGTATAGGCCAACCTAATAATCTCACTTATGTTCATTCATATTTAAACTACAGTTTTATGTTTGGAAAGTTTGTGACCAGAAAAGTGAAGTGCTTTTCAAGATTGTCTTAAATTAAAAAAAAAAAAAAAAAAAAATTAAAAAAAATTAACCAGTTATTGTTACTGAAAGAATAGCTCCTTATTTTTCATATCTAAAAGATTGAACCCTTCACAATGATTAATAAAGTCTGCTTGTTATCTACTTTTGTCATAAAAAATGATATACAAAAGAAACACTCTGAAAAAAGGCAAAGGTAAAATGCCAGCATGAACATTTGTACCGACACTGCTAATTAAAAGACTTAACTTATTAGTCTTTAAGTAGCAAAAAAAGAGAGAAACAAACAAGTATAATTTGGCAGATTAATTTTATGTTCTGTTCTATTTAATCAAACTATACCTATAGTGAAAATGACAAATCTGAGTTGTCAGACTATGGATGATAAGAAAGATAAAGGTCATATATTTTAATGTCATAGAAGGTCTTATTAAAGGAACCCTAATTACATTAGGTGTCCATGAAACATTAATTAAATACTGTCTGAAATAATTAGGTCCAAGTTACTGATGATTTAATTAAACTCAGTTTTTTATTTTATAAGAAAACTACAGGTCCAGTATCAGTGTGTTGGCAGGGTAATTGATAATGTGTCAGAAGAGCAAAACAGTAACCTTGACCACTGCATGGGAAGGACATTTTGGGGAGCAGGACACCCTGCTCGTGGCCAGGAGCCTCTGGGCTGTGCTTGGGGAGTTCCAGAGCGTGCAGAATCCAGAAAGAGAGAGCTTTGGGTCTGTATTCTCAATTTGTGTGCACTGGGTCATCCCTGACCTCCTAGCTCAGATTTTGGTGAAGGTCTTTGCCTTACCAAGCAGTTGGATTTCTCCAGCACAGGGCAGATGCACACCCAAAATTCTGGGTTTACATTGCCCACCATGCAGCCCCACAAAGTTCCAAACCCTTTTTCTCTTCCCCTCTACGAAGAGGCAACCACTAAAAATCCCTCTGCAGACGGGAGGCTGTGCCAGCTGCAGGGTTATGGGTGGATAAAGAAAGTGGGACTGGAGTTGCTGGGCTGGCAAAGTGCTTCCCTGATCGCTCAGGATGAGGGAAATATTGCAGGAGTGAAGCATCATCCCCTACTTAAAACTGTCACAGAATAGATGTGGGATTACCCAGGGGAAAAACAAAAAAAGGGAGAGAATTGGAAAGGTGAGAAATATGCATTTGTATGTGGAGTGAGGCAGTGAAGGAATTCTGAGGGGAAAAGGAGCATTTTCCTGTCTATTCCTGGAGTGGGAACACAGACTTTGTGGCACTCCAGGGATGGTGGACTCTGTGACTGGGTTCTGACACCTCACCTCCACTGGGAAGATTTAAATCTTCCTCTTCTCCCAAGCTGCCTGGCTGATCTCAGACAAACAAACCTCACTCTTCCATTTCTCCTCTTGTAAAATGAAAAGGAATATCTTTACTCCTCTGTAATTATGAGTCCTGCCTGATGCCTGTGAGGGATAACTCTACAGAGCAATACTATTGAAATGCAGAATATTGAGCTGAGAGTGCTAAAGAGCAGAGCCACCCTGGAGATCAGCAACCACCAAGTGTCCCACAGACAGCCCAAACATCATCCCTGCCACACATGGATATCCTCTGGACAATTAGCACTGCTCACATGGAGGGCTCTGGGTGAAGACAACAGGAAAATCAATTTGTAATTAAAACCTGTGCGCCTCCTAAATACCCATTTCCACAGAGAGCATTCTGGTTTTGGAAGGGAATTGCTGCTACACTACCAAAAATATTTTAAAAATTAAAAAAAGCCCACTGGAAACCTCCCACAGTTTGTATTGCACAGAGTAAAGCAGATTCCACAAAGGAACACCCATTTCATCCTCTTGATAAAATCCTCTGTGATTTCAGGAATCCACTGATATAAAAAGACCATTGAAGAGCCTATTATTTCACCAGGGGAAAGTAATAAATCCTTAAAACCAGAAAAGTTCACCACAATTTTCATTTGACTGGATATTCTGGAGTTGTCATTATGACCCCTAATAAATACCTGTATTTCACAGGAGAGATGTGAATGACTCCAAAGGGCTGAGGAAATGTTAAAGTATTGACTCAGCAACCAGGAAAATCTCTTCATTAAATCCAGAAAGATGATTTTGCAATAAATGTAACAATTGACTGTAATCAGTGTGTAAAACATTCCATCTGCATTGGGCACAAATATACAAATATAAAACACAAAGTACCTTTGAAACTTTTCTCTCAGGCTTTTCCAGCTGGGAATCTCCTCACATTAAAGATGAAGACTGAAATACAAAGAAAGACTGATTTTAAAGAGTAATAGAATTTTGTTTGTTTTTAAAGAAATCTTTCTTTGAGTAATTCAAAAGAAAAAACCAGATCAAGTTCTGTTCTTTTTCTCTGCAGATTCTGCATAACATCAGTTCCTGATTGATGATGTAAAATACTCCTACATTTTACCCTGCCTGAGTCCTCCTGCCATTTGTGTAATTCTGCTTACACAAAACCCCTTAAATCCTTCAGGCAAAAATAAAATGTCATTATTAAATTTGAAATGAAATCCCATTACTTTGTTACAGTAATCAATATAACAACAGCACGAATTAGCATGTGTACAATGTTTCACAATTAGTAGAACTATAAATATATGAAGAATCAATGAGCAATTAAGCAAGCAAATCTTAATTATTAATGTGCTGTCCCTGAATAATCTGTTGCCACTGTTTGTGTCAGAGTACCTGTATAAGAATCGCATTTTTTTCCTGAAGTTTGAATTTCCACTGAAATAAACTGCCTTTTAAGCTGTTTTTGATGCACTTTTCAAAACACAGAAACCTCCTATGCATTTGACAAGGATATAATTGAGTAAATATCCCTGCTGAAATTCAAAACAATGTGTTCTGTGCTGGTTTTTTGGGGTGAGGCACACAAACACAGAGTGCAAGGTATTGGAGGGTCATTGTCTGCCTGCAGCCAGGACAGAGACAAAGCAGAGCTGCCTCTGGAGGCTGGGATAAAGGACAGGCAGATGAATTAATGGGAAACTGATAACAGGGTATCAAACAGCACCCTGCTCCTTACCCACAAATTCCACCCAGCAGGGAACTCCCCAGCCAGGGTTTGGGTGGTTTGGGATGGAACTCCAGCCCTGCTGCAGCACACAGCCCCCACAGGCAGATATTCAAGGTCTTTTCTCAAATTCAGTGGCATCAATCTGTTCATGACCAGTCAGAGTCAGAACTGCTGGAGCCCTCACTGTCATTCTCTGCCTTTGGGAATTTGTTTTTTTCCTTTTCTTTAGTGTAAAAACCTAAAAGATCTAAGTTAATACTATTAAATATGATACATGGGGAAGGCATTTATTAATTTTTTTATATACAAGATGATGAGCTGGATCCTGCTCCTCTAACCTATACAAAACACAAACTGCAAAGGAAATTCTGCTTCGTTTACTTAACTGGATCAAGTCCTGCCCAGCAGAATCCCTTTATGTCCCTGTAGCAAATAAATTAATTTAGAAAAACAACTTCTCAAATTAATTCTTTCCAAAGTGACATTAACTGTTGGCAAAAGAGGTGGAGAAGGAAAGGAAAAGAGCTGCTCGTGTTTTACCTGTTCAGCCACCTGTTAACTGAAATGAATGAATAAACTGGGCACTGCTGGGGAATCCTTGGATTGCCTGAAGAGCGCCCAGAAAATCAGCTCCCATTCAAAGACACACTGCTGACTGATTTATATAAGTTAAATTACAATTATATTCTATGCAAAATAAGAATAGATCAGACTGTGAAGGCTAGAAACCAGTTTAAAAAATAAAAATGCTTTAAGCAATGTTAGCACTCCAAATTCTAGACAGAAACAAGCTTGAACACTGACAATAACACTGGCAAAATCTATTTGAAAAACCCCTAAGCTGTGCACACATTTGCAAGGTTCCCCACTCCCCCTCCCAAGATATTGCTAAATATTGCCTTCAGACTTTAACAGCAGTGCAGATCCAGTACAAATCCCTTTGTGTGAGCAAAGATGTTCTGCTAGAGATGTGCCACAGCACACAGCTCCCCACAAAATCGTGGAAGTCTGCAAAACAACATGGCAGAAGCAGATCTACAATTAACAAACAAAATTTGACAAGGCAGTTGCTGGATCTGTACTTATTTTTGTATTTTTTTTTACGTTACAAGCACTTACCTGATGTCTTGTGCAATGTGTTATAAAGATATTTCCTAAAAGATTTTGGCAAATGAATTATGTAGCTGAAATGTAATAACGAAGGTAGAAATTTGTCCTGTTATCAGTCACACACATTCAAGCAGAAACCCAGTGCAGCACAGTAGATAGAACTATAAGCTCTGGGATCTTCTCATTCAACCAAGATTGCTTCATACAAAAGTTGACAATACACTAGTGAAAGCCATTGTTGATATTCAACATTTTTTAAATAGCTGAACAGAATAGACAATAAGGCATGAAGGAAAACTTGGATAGGAGGCTGGCCTGGAGTCTGGGTTCAGAAAGGGAAAAAAAGCATTAAAAATGGACAATAAATATGTGGTTCTCATTTTTTGCCCTGAATGTGTCAATTAACTGATCTTTGCTGTGCTGAAATTCTGCTGGTTTCATAGGGAGAATAAAATATAAACTGTAATTTTTTAATTTCATCAATTTAAGTCTAGGTGCAGCTTGAAATACTGGCACTGAGAGAGACCAATGTTTTTATGGTTCACATTCACCATGAATTAATACAAATAAAGGACTTTGTAACATCACTGAAAGATCCTCCCATTAATTGTCAGACCCACCTGCCCAGGCTGAGGAGATCACACATTTCAGTCCTTATATCAGAAAAAGGATTCCTGTGAAATACTTTTTTAAACTGTGAAAAATCCAGAATTTGTATTTCCTGTTATTGTGTCTGAGCTCCTGATTTCCTCAATAATAAAAAAAAACAAAACAAAAAAACCCCAGAGCACTGTACCCAGTCTTTGAAGGAGTTCATAACATTCCAGAGATCTTGCAGATGGAAGATAATGGCTTATTTTAACAACTTTTTATATCTGGTTTGTTTTGCTTAAGATTTTAGTGCCAACAGGGGAAAATCCCACCTTGTCCAACTCTGAAAATCTGCATCAGCACAAACATTTTATTTTTTCTACTGGCTCACCTGAAACAACTTGTGTAAACCATAATAAAACTAGCAAAGGATGAGTTTAAACCATTTTATTTCTTGATCATTTAGCTATGGCAGCAAAACTTTCTACTTTTCTCTTACTCAGAACTGTGTTATTTCTCCAGCTCTGCCTTGGTTTTCATTGCATGCTGCCTCACCCACGCTGCAGGTATTTGGTATTGATTTCTCCAATATTTAATTTTTAATTTATTTTATAGGAGAACAGGTAATTTCAAGCTAGACCAGGCTGTTTATGATGAATGTTGGCAGGGTGATTTAGCATGGGAAGAATTTTGTTTGTTTGTTAACCCTGCTGTATTATCCACTAATTCTGCTGCTGAGTTCAGAAAGTGGAATGTAACTGCACTTCATAGAGCATTTTCCCCTCTTGCTTTCAGTCCTCTTAGGTTTGTGACTAGAATTTAGACATCACCTACATTTTTTACCCTTCCCTGAAGAAAGGCCAGTGCTTGGTTTGTCTGTGCTTTGTGTCTGCTGCTCTTCCAGCAAATATCTGGAAGTCCAGGTGTGTCCAGAACTGGGAACTGAGCACACACATTTTTGTCAGCACCAGATTTGCCACTGATGTGATGAATGCAGGAATTGATCAGCAGATCAAGCAGAGTGCCAGGGAAGGGATTCTGAGCAGGGAAGGGTGGCCTTGATTACATCCTCCTAAATGGCTGTTACCTGAGTCCCCCTAAAAATATTTCCCCTAAAGGCAAGCACTGAAACCAGCTGAGGATTCTTTGTGCTGCTGCAAAGCACAATGGCTGCAAGCACTTCCACTTCACTTCCATTTCCATTTCCATTTCCATTTCCATTTCCATTTCATTTCCACTTCCACTTCCACTTCAATTTCCATTTAATTTCCATTTCAATTTCCATTTCCATTTCCGTTTTCATTTCCATTTCCACTTCACTTCCATTTCCATTTCCATTTCCATTTCCATTTCCATTTCCATTTTCCTTTCAATTTCCATTTAATTTCCATTTGCACTTGCACTTCCACTTCAATTTCCACTTCAATTTCAATTTCCACTTCCATTTCTACTTCCATTTCAATTTCCATTTCCATTTTCATTTTCATTTCTGTTTCCATTTCCACTTCCATTTTCCTTTCCACTTCCATTTCCATTTCCTTTTTCCTTTCAATTTCCATTTAATTTCCATTTTCACTTCCATTTCCACATTCACAGGCCCCTCTAGGACAGTCCTAGGAGAGACATTCCCCACTTTAGTTGTATTTGCCAATCCTGACTTTGGCCAGAATTCACCCTCAGACAGCAGAGATTGAACTGGAGCCACTTTGGGATGGGGTCCATTACGAGGCATCACCACAAACCAGATTTTCTCTCACCTTGGGGACAGAAGCTGTGAATAGAAATGATCAAATCACTCAAGCCAGGAGAAGGAAAGCTCCTGGTCCTTCCATCACTGCAGCTGGAAGTGTCCCACAGCAGCTCATCCATATCCTTGGGTGTTGGAATTCACACAGAACCGGTAGAATTGCACTAATATTCGTAAAGCTGGCTCTTACCAGAGTTAAACCCTGCAAATTGTCCAGCCCATGGTGAAATGTATTTTCCAAGCTAGAAAAGAAGCAAGTTTGATGCCTCCATCCAATCAGGAAGAAATCAAACAAGTGTGGGGAATTTTGCTTTGAAGTGGCCTTCAAGTCTAAGCCATACAATGATACCTGCAGCTCTTTCACTGAAATTAATTGCATTGATTTTCAATTAGTTTGTTGATGTGGGTGGACATTTTCACGTGCCAGAGGATTGTGCCTAAGCCAGCTAGAGATGTGACATCTATATTGAACATTTCCCTTTTCTCTTGTTCCTATGAGATTATAAAACATCTTTCCACAAGAAGCCTAAACATCAAGTATCAGTGTAATTTGCAATATTTTTTATGTCTTTCTTCTTTCTTGACACTTAGACTGAATAATTTTCACTATGATTTGCAATCTCAACAATTACATAAACTTCTGGGTTTCATCAGGGCAGGAAATCTCCTAAAGAGCTGTACAAGATCTTTTTATGCAGCAGTGCTCGTAGGCAAAACCTGGTTCTAAAAATGCATTATTGACTGTACTCCACAGCTACGTGAGAAGAAAGCAGAATATG